GGCCATCTTGTTTTCCTCAACGTCTTCCGGACCTCTGCTCGTGTTGTCTCCACTACGCATGGCTTCCTCAGAGTTTAAGGTCAAATTCCCCGCTCCTTCTTTTTGCTCGGCTGCAGCAGAGGAGTTTCGAAAGTCGTCCTTGTCGGCCGGTGTGGTTGGTGTCTGGGTTGTAGCTGCGACACCGCTGGACGAGGCACTTCCGAGCATGTCGCCGTAGGTGAGAGCTACGACCCCGACTGTAGCTTCCTTTGCAGTGTCATTGATGGGAGCAGATTCATTGAGCGTCTTCGCTTGGCCTCTCACGGTGCTGCTGGTGGAGCTGTTGAGCAGGCTCGCCATCTTTGCGAAAAGTTCGGTTTTGTCCGGTGTTCCTGGCTCAGATTTGGGACTGGATTCAGTGTCGAGTTCCCCCGCTGATCTGAAATAGGCAGAGGAGATTCTGTGACTTTCCGGATTTACTTTGTGCGCTTTGTCATCAGCGTTTTCAGTTCTGTTTTGAATAGACGGAAACCCCAAGAGCATATCGATCTTGTGTTTCTTTTTGTATTCGTCAGGTGTAACTTTGGAGACAGATTCAGCGCTTCCTGTCGTCTTTAAAAGTAGTTTATGGTCTTCACTGCCTGGCTCAGTGCGGCTCGTTGTGTTTATACGGCTTATCTTTGGTTGCCAGACCTGTAGGCTTCCAAGTCTAAAACCTTCTAAAGCCTGCTGGACTCTGGCAGACTCATCTGGCTCACTGACTGGAGGTTTGGCTGCCTCGAGTGTTCGAGGGCCAAATGCTTTGAAGCCATATATTCTTTTGTGGGTTCCGAACCGTCTGTGATCTGGGTTGCTATCAGGTAGCCGAGGCCGGGCTTCCTTAAATCCTGATGTGAGATCCTGATGTGTGCCAGGAGACGGTGCAGAGTACTCTGTAGGTGTCCTGTCGGGTTTCGCCTGTGCAGCAGATGCTTCTCCCCGGCCAGAGCTATACTTTGGCGACAAGGGAAGGTTCATATTTGTGATTTTAGAGCCCTTTCCTTTGTCGAAGCTGGATCGTCCAGAGTTGGTCCTGTCATTGGAGCCACTTGAGGAGGGAATAGGCGGCTCCTTTGCAGCACTCCATTTAGAATTTTTCAAACTTCTGAAGCCATAGGGTTTTGTTATGGCTTGTCCAGGTGTGGACGCATGCATTGATCCTCTTGTGGTTGTATCACTGATGCTACTTACTACAGATTTACTGCTGCCAGTCGCATAGTTACTTCCCAAGATGCCGTCTTTCCTTCGAGCAGAGATTCGAGCTGTGTGTCGATATTTGCCGAAACCGTCCGTCTGAGCACCATAATGGGCCCCATTATTATTATGTTGCAGGGGATTGGCATTATCAGAGCGATGTGGTATGTTCTTGGTGGGGTCTTTTCTTTGTGATTGTTGTAATTGTTTAACATTTGACGAAACCCCGCTAGTGACTTCAGAGGCCCTTTGCTTATGTGGTCCCTTGTCTCGGACCGTTTGAACTGTCTCATGTCCACCAAAAGCAGGTTGAGAGTCCTTGAACAGATACGACTTGATCTTTTTGAGTCTTGGTGTCTTGCTGCCGGACGCAGAGTGCAACCCCTGGGAGAAATCTGTGTTGGATGGTGTCAGCTTTTCTGGGCTGGGGATGCTTTTAATAACAGAGCTGCTGCTGATTGATGGTGCACGAGGGGCAGTTTGACTCGCGGGGCCGAAAGATTTGCTTAATCGAATCCCACTAGATGTTCTCTGCGCCCCGGCCGAAGAGTGCTCATTTGTCTCTTTATAGCCACTATAAAGCCCTCTTGAAGTTAGCCGCGATGAACTCCAATATCTACTAGTCTGAGAGGAAAAAAGAGAGGGAGAGTCATTTTTGGGAACTTTTTCTTTGATGTAGGATCTGTGAGCTTCTTTGGAGTCCCACCCTTCTGGAGGACTGGAGCTCTGATGGAAGGGACTGGCAGCCTCTTTGTAAGATGTTTTTTTATTGATAACTGGGTATGAATTATAAGAGAGAGGGCGGTAGCTGCTTGCCGGGCTCATTCCACTCGGCACACTAGTTGTTCCCGCTCGGGATGGTTTGTTATCTGGACTGTTACTGTAGCTGAAGCTACTTTCTGTTAACCGTGGCGGATTTGATTGATGGTAAATGATTGACGAGGCTCCTCCGTAATTCCCACTCTTCTCAGTTTCGCTGTTAGCTCCAGTTTGGAGTGATGGCAGACCAGAAAAGAGGGGACGGTGTTGACTGTGTGGAGTATACAGTCGTCTCCAGACGATGTGCCTCACTCCAGTGTCCACGTGGTTTTTTGGGGGACTGGCTGAAAGAGGACAATGAAATAACGAGTCATTCTCTGATAATTTGTTACTTTGATATTGTATGCTCATTTTATACCCTTATTTTAGTATCACCATGCCTCAATATCAAATACACTTCCAAATGCATTTACATAAGTTGCTATAAATCCCTACAGTACAATAAAACCTCATCTCTCTACATTGTTGTGAAATTGCAAAGAGAAAGCTTGCACCTAATCAAATCATCCTCGTGACATCTTTAGAACTTCTCATAAAGATGAGCATTAGCTCGCTACAGTTACTGGCCTGCTTGTGTTGCTCACCTACTGCAGCATCTGAACACATGATGAACGGCATGACAGCTGCACAAGCCAGCGCACAAACCAACAAGAGTCTGCAGGAGAAAAACACCCACAGGAATATTGTTGTAATTTAATGGGGATCATAATGCCGTCACTCAAAAATAATCACCAACCTCTTGCAGATTTTATGACTACATTTGGTGGAAAGCTTGTTAAATTGATATTTACCTTGAGTGGAGAGAAGAGGTTTCTAACATGATGGACAGCTTCTTTTGCCAGGGTTTCTACCAGACCTTAAAATAAGCCGCAGTGGTGTTGTCGATCCATGCGCTTCACTTGTCAAAAACAAGTGATTCACATTGAGCTTTCACACACTGCTGCTGGTCGTGAGTCTGATTGGATGCAATGCCGTTCACCTGGCCTCAAGTAGCCCACTTCCTGGATTAGTCTGTGTCGGATGGTTTCCCATTTTTGGCCAATTTCATGTAAAACACTTTAGAATTTCTGTCATTTCTTTTTCCCCTGCTTTGTGTATTCATCTTTTACTTTCTTTGAACAAGAGAATACATTTGCCTCCTTCTGGAATTTTTTACTTTGTAAAGTCAGCTTAGGCCTGTAGAGACTTGATGCACACACACACACACACACACACAGGCAGACCAAAGCTAGGCAATCGTTTGATTCTTTATAATGCACACACTGACTCACCCAAATTCCCATCAAAAAAAAAAAAAGCTTCAAATTGAGTTGAAACCAGAACAGTTTAATTTTCCTTAAATATGTAACAATATTTCCAAATTAAATACATTAATGAAAATAAATATATACATTATCATATACATTAGTGCCATTCACAAGTTTTTTCCTCATTTCACTGCAACAGCATCATAGTGGTCGTCATTTAAACATGCATTCAGAAAGTAGAAAAGCTGAATTTAAATCATTGATGAATGCATCTTGCCAGCATAGTTTTATCACCATCATAATCACAAGTCCATATTGCAAAGGAGAACCATTCAAATAGTATCACATTAGGCCGGGTATCTGAAGTGGTGGACTCTTTAAAACATGTAGCTGGCCATCATGGCGATGGCCCTGAAGTCGTCATTGGTCATACAGTCTGTTGAAAGGAAGACAGGACACATTAGAAAAAGATCTATATTCATCCAATGTTTATTTTTCAAATATAACTTTTTCTTCTGGGTTGGGTTTTGATACTAAACTAAAATTCATATCGGCTAGTTGTACTTACACAAGAGATATATGGTTCTTTGTATTTATTTAACTATAGCTACTAGTTACATATGATCAATTGATGAAATAAGAGCCATCGTTAGCGTGGATTAAAGGCCCCATAACCTCACAGGTGTTCTCAGCTATGCTGCTGATTAGACCGGCTGGGATTTTAATGAGGTCATCGTGTACTAAAAAGGAATGATAGCATTTTAAATTGCCCCCCCAATAAGACAGGAGAGCACTTAAAGTCCCGGAAGAATACTTTATCTGAATAGTATGTTGTGTGTACAAACTATTACATAGTCTACCCAACATAAAACACTAAAGGCTATCATCTTTCAGGACCTTGAAGAGTCCATAATTTAAAACACTGAAAGAAGACATTCTGCATCGGAGTACTTGTAGTCTACTTTTGCTTTTTATACTTTAAGTAGCCTACTTACTGTTACCACCAAACCCTATTCACAAACTGTTCATTTTAAGAACTCCCAAATGCCCTCTCGCATTAACTTATCATGAACCACAATGAGCGCTTGACTTACTTTCTCCGGCCCCCCGCTGTGAGCCCTTCCCGCTAACCATCCGCCAAACTTTCCGACAAGACCGCCGGAGCCTCCCGCCTCTGGAGCCCGTGGAGAAGTCGCTCTCCTCGGCTGGAGTCTCGGGAAGCGTCGGCTCCTCGGTGTCGTCACAGCAGTCTTGAACGTCACCGACCGGGTCCTCCTCCTCCTCCTCCTCCTCCTTGTCGAGGACTCCCGAGACTAGAAGCCGCTCCAGGACGCACTCGTCCACCCTCAGCTCGGCTCTCACCCTCCCCTCCCCGGAGATGGATGTGGTGTGTCGGCACAGCGGGCAGACGATGAGTGTGTCGGCCCCATCGGGTCCCTGGGGTCGTGAAAGGGCCAGCAGGAGCAGGCAGCTCTCACAGAAGCTGTGTTTGCAGTGGAGTTCCCGGGGACACCGACGGCCTGCGTTGTAGCTCCGGTAACAAATCCCGCACTCGTGCTCTGAGAACATCCTGTTTTCTGGTCCCGGGCTGTGTCTGAGTGAAGTCTCAATGAATCAAAAGGTGAGCTCTCCAGAGTTTATATCTCGGGGTGTGACAACGTGTGTGTGGGAGGATGACGGGATAAACTGTGACATGAGTCATCAAGCTCCAAATAGGCTACTGATTCAATGAAACTATATACCAACACTAATCACTACACACACACACCTACCTCTTTGTGGGTGTCTTGCGCATGGGCCAATGTATATGGACACATTAGTGACTCGCATACAGGACAAATTCACAGCCAGGGTCAAGCTAATGCAAGACATTATACCACGTATATTCTGCTGATTTATAATCACAACATACTGGAAAATTGAGTGTTTTCTTTGAGAAGAATGTCAGCTCAAAAAGCTCCGTCTGAAGGTAAGCAACAATGTGTTTTTAAGATTCCCCCCCACTTAATCTAATTTTATTTTTTCTATTGGTGCTACCCCTCCACGCCCTTGTGTACGTGTCTGTGTCTGTGTCTGTGTCTGTGTGTGTGGGTGTAGTGACGTCAGCTCTTCCTCTCCATGGTAAACCCCAAACAAGTTTCCTCATATCAGTTGTTCCAGCATGAACTCCTTTCATGGTGATATCCGCTGAAACCCTGGCCAATGATAACAAACTCGCTGTGTGTGTGTGTGTGTGTGTGTGTGTGTGTGTGTGTGTGTGTGTGTGTGTTAGTCTTTTGTTAATTTTTTTCCCCAGCCATTCCTGCTTTTTGCCCCCAGCTTAGAGTAAAGGTGATTATTTTTATTTTCTTTTGACCTGATGACAAAAGAAAACTTTCCCCGCAAAACTGAGATGGTTCAAAGGGAAATGTCTCTATAGTTATATTTAAAAAAATAAAAAATAACCTTGATGAAGTCATACTTCACTCTTAAACATGATTATTGATTGTGACCATTTCACAGTAAACGGCTGTTTTTGCTCTGAGCTAGAGTTCATGTCTTTAGGGCTGCTAAATTTAACGCATAAGTGATCTACTATAGCCTACTGTACTCATCCCGAAACAATAATGTCGATATGTTTGATATGTATCGTCACCTTTTAACAGCTTTAATGACCTGATGGTAGTACTAGTTGTTCCTGAAAAACAAATTGTAAAATCCCTTTTTAAAGTGATTCCAGTGTAAGTGAGTGATGGGGAACAAAATGACCAGTCACTGCTCAAAGCTGTATTTTAGACTTAATGTGACGCTAACAGTAATATTCAACAGCCTGTGTTACAAATCAAGTAAAATTGATTCCTTGTGTGTTCACTACTGAGACACAGCACAGAGACGGTAACACAAAGCGGGAATGTGGTACTAAAAAAGACTTCAGAACTTCAGAGTTTACAGAACAAAGACTGTGGATTTTGTCGACCATCATTTACCGTCAACCGTTACAGTTTAAAGGAGGGATTTCTTTGTAAACAGGATGAACAATATTCCTGCTTTCAGCTTGGTCTGATGGTTGTAAAACTGCCCTAACCCACATATAGGAACAGTTGATTCTCATTATAAACTGGGAGTCTGGTCTATTCCTTTTAGTAACTTCTGGCTTAAAGATCATGTCACAAAGTATTCGCCTCAGTATATCAGGCTTCACCTCAGAGGAACTCGAGCTCAGCACATTTATTGTATCCCACTAATCAGTTTTGAATCTCGTGAAAGTTAGTTAACAGAGTTCAGCCTGACATTGTGACAGTGAAAATAGCTGACTAGGCGTCTGCATCTGTACAGGACAAACTGTCAACAAGGAAATCATTCAACCGGGTGCACCGTACTCTAGGTTATCATGTGTGTCAATAATTCACTCACACCACGCTCTGAACACACACACACACACACGCACACACACACACACACACACACACACATCGTGTGCTTGCAATTTATTCACCCTTGTTTTTAGTCATTGACTCCCACTCGACTGTGCGCTGGTTTTTAAATATGAAAAAGAACATGTAGAAACGTGTAAGGCTGTTAATAACTGCACCCTAATTCACCCAGCTATTTTTAACATATGCTGACTGTGTGGGAAGCATAATAACATAATACGCAAGTAGAGTCGAGTAAGTCGACTCCGAATCTCTCATTTTCTGCCTTGTGTGTCCTGGTTACCTTCACATCACCAGGGGTTTAATTACTGCCGAGCAAACCACAGAGATGCCCCACGGGGGACTCGGGCGGATCGAGAGGAGGACGAGTGACATCAAGTTAAGAAGGAGCAAAAAGAAACCGGAGGGTTGCCAGTAAGCCGAGCCTCAGCCTCGTATACCTATACGGGAGAAGTAGAAATTTGAGTGGTTAATGTGCACGCAGAAGAGGGAGGAAGACACCCCGCCAGGATGAGATCTGTACCAACATGAGGAGCTGTGAGAGCAGTGAGAGGGGTCGGAGGCGAGCATCAAAGTGTGCACTGATCAAAGGGGGAGGGGGTGCGGTAAGTGGCTCTCTTATCTGCTTCTTGGGTGTCGAGATGGATCGCTGCCAGTTTCTCTCAATATAATCTCACTGAAACCCGATGGCCTGAATAGAAGAGAGCTCATTTGTTTATACGGAGCAGCCGGTCAGGGCTGGTTTTTAATATTACCCTTTCACAACAGGTTGTCAGTACATATATTGTGAGTAAAGCAAAAATGCTTATTGTGGGTGTAAATGATATTTGAACTCCTATTTTTGCTCTGATTCTAGCGTAGACTTGTGAAAGAAAAAGGTTTCAGACGATGTGCTGCCATGGACCAATTCAAAGGAGACTCCATCTTCTTAGCAACAATCCCCCCCATGAGTGATCTTGGGTTGTTGTCCCATGTGAACAACAACAACAACAAAAAAGTGTCAGTAAAGTAAAGCAAATCTAATGCCAGCAGCAAGTTAGCTTAGCATAAAACTAGGAAAAACAAGTAGCCTAAATATGTACATAAACTGAAGATTTCAAAACAAGTTTTGAGGTTAGATGGATCTTTTTAACCAGGCTAGCTTCCCCCCCCCCCCCCGTTTCCAGTCTTTATGCTAAGCTAAGCTAACTGGCTGCAGCTCTCTATTGAACGAAGTAGCATCAATCTTTTTTTATCTAACTCTTGGTGGCAAACTCTTTGTCTACCAGGCTCTGCAGCTTACAGTTATTCAATATCCTCTTTTCAAATGGTCCTTCATGTTAAAGGGCCACTCCAACAACTTTTATTTTTAGTATTGCACTTCTATGAAGTTGGCAGACTTACAAGAAACTAATTCACAAATGAATGGTCAAAATTGACTCACCATGAAGCCGAGATTCTCACTTTTAGTCTCGGGTAAAGGTCAAGCTATACCAAAAAAGTCGAAGCCGAGATAAATGACGTCATCGGGGTTATTTTCTGGAAAATAAAACTGTTTTTTCAGACTGAATAATACTCACTAAAGTCAATGGAGTGGCCTTTTTTAAAATAATAACTATTGCGAGTGGAGAAAAGTGGATGTGCACACATGCATCATTACAGTGACTCATTACTTCCTTTTACAGCTTTTCTTGATATTTGTTATTCCCATACAGGCCAGCACACACTGGGCTCGGGTGATTGTGAGAGGTAGCGTAATGGTTAGAGCAGCGGATGGCTGTGTGTTTAAATGGATGAACCCATGACTCATGGGCTGTGGAATCTGTCCATAAAACATAGCAGCATCCCAGGGGGAGCAGATCCTGCCATTTAAAAAAGCCACATAAGCCTCTGGGGCTCTATCCGTCTTAGTAAAGGTTATTTTCTCTTTACAGATTTTACCGTCTTCTGTTGATTAAAGATCCATCCACAAGTTGCATCTTGCCATCACTGAGCACCCAACTCCTTCCCTCCCTCCCACCATGACGGGGGGTGTTGTCCCAGCTCCCCAGCAGGGGGACCCAGCTGCTGTGGTGCTCAGCCTCAGCACCACCCCGGGGGAGCCCATGGATGTGGAGTGTCCCATCTGCTACCAGGATTACAACCAGTACAACAAATGCCCCCGGATGCTGGAGTGTCTCCATGTTTTCTGCACTGAGTGCCTCAAAAGGATCCAGCTGTGTCCCCTCGAGCCCCTCGACGCCGCCGGCAGCACGCCAGCCCTCCCCTGCCCCCTCTGCCGCCACCTCACCCCTCTGGAGACCGGAGACGCCCTCTCCTTGCCCTGCAACTCCCGCATCCTGGCCGGGCTGTCCCCCGTGGCCTTCCGCCTGCCCATGGCCGTGGCGACACGCCTGGCCACCGTCACCCAGAGAGTGGTGCTCTCCCTAGAGGGCGACAGCAGAGACGCCCGCTTCATCATCCTGCCCACCGTCAGCCTGCGGGTGCAGCAGATGCACCCGGAGAGGCCGTACGGCACGGCGCCGGGCCTGGCGGGCGAAGACGAGGTCATACAGCAGAGCAAGAAGACGCTGTTCCGGGTACAGGTGCTGGCCGTCACCTTCTGGGTGCTGTTCGTGATCACCTGCGTGGTCGTGGTGGTGTTCGGGCCGCAGTTTTTTAACAGGAAACTTTAAAAGGAAACAGGGTTTATCTCCTTTTTTTTTATAGCCGATATAGTTGTTGATTTAGAGTCATGATGTAGTCACACTGTAAAAGTAAAGTGCAGCTATGGGACCAACTCAAATTATACTTTTATTTATATAATACCAATCACTGTACTGCATACCTGTTGCTCTTTAATTAATGATAGATTGATGAAGAGTTCCCTCTAGTGGTGTACTTGGTGACTGTAAATAAAAGATTAAACACTAAACGTCTTCTCTCAGGTTTCATGAAGTTTCACTCTCTGTGCTTGTTATTATGCAGCTGAAGACTGTCCTGCCAATGCACACATGAATAAAGCTACTTTATATGTAACACTGTGTCGTGTGCTTATATTTACAATATCACCAAAGATTGGCAGTGTGTATTTAGTTTCATCATATATGGATGGATTTCTTTCTTTTGTGGTATAAATTACAGCAAACTTATTCTGTTTATAGTCTGCTGTTGCTTTAGGGGCCCCTTTGCAAGATTGTTGTGGGCCCCTTAATTGCTTGTTTGTTGTAATTTGGTGGAATAAAAGGATTTTCTTAATGTTGATACAGGGCCCTCAACAAAGACGGGTAATAAAGAGCGACTTGCCTAAAGACCTCTGTCATTTCAGTTTCTATTTATTAGCATTATCCCAAATAAATTAGCAGTCATTAAAGTAACCAACTGATTGAAATGTTCAGGACCTTTGGGACCTCTAAGGATCTGGGACCCGAGGCTGCCCGGTTGATAATCCTGAGCTAATACTTTTACCTACTCTTGTACTTTTTACTCGTATTGTATTTATCTGAAAGCGGTAGTTACAAATGGCTTTACATATAACTATATTTCTTAATACAAACCACAACAAAAGGGGGAAACGGAGGTTACGTACAAAAAACGTACGTACAAAAAAAAAAAACAGGGGGGGGGGGTGTTACGTGATTGCGTCACACGCCGCGTTGGCTCGCAAAAAGTGGAGAAAAGTTTTCGGACCCCCTCCCCTGTATGTTTTTGTTGGGGGAAAAAGTTGTTGGTAGTGAACGATAGGTCGTGTGAATGTAGCGGGTCCGTCGTTTCTTTCGCCCCTCGGTAACAATGCGGGGCAGTGCGAGTGTTTTACTGTTTTAAGAGTCGGTAGAGAGAGAGAGAGAGAGAGCAGGCTTTACGCGTTCACGTCCTCTGGCTCGGACCGAAAAAATCTCAGTGGCCATCATCGTTTCACCTCTGAGCCGAGTCTCGTTAGCCACCTAGCCTAGCCGCGAGCTAACTACCCAACCAGCCTAACGCCACCTCGCCGCGTATAGTGCGCTTCTTGTGGGGAGGGGGGGACTTCCAGCTTTGGGAGAAAAGCAGACCGCAGAGATGGCGGAAACCAAAATAATTTACCACATCGACGAAGAGGAGACGCCGTATTTGGTGAAGATACCCATCGCTGCGGAAAATATCACTTTGCTGGATTTTAAACAGGTCTTGAACAAGCCGAACTACAAATTCTTCTTCAAGTCTATGGACCAGGACTTCGGGTGAGCTTGCTGGGACTTTTTCTACCTTTTTTTTTTTTTTTTTTTTTTGAAGAAGGGAATATTTGTGGTTTGCATGCAAATAAAAGCTCCTAAAAGTTATTAAAGCTCGAGATACTTAAAATGTTGTTGTTGGAAAACAATACTTTAAATGTGCCTTTGTATTGTCTGCGTGGAGGAGCTTTAACTTCGCACTAAAAAGCTTGGCTAATTCAAAATAAACTTTATTAAATCGCCTGCTTTACAAAAAGTCGTGCAATCCTATCTCGTGACCGGCTGTCGTGTATTTGTCCCAGAAGGAATACACTGAAGCTGCTCGTGCAGGTCGCCATTCAACCAACGCATCCTTACTCAGAAGTGATCATGACTAGTGATGAATGTATATAAGTGGGTCTATCAATAATAAGGCTATGGAGGCTGGGACATTTCTCAGAAAACATCATCATTACAATGGGAGGCATTCCCTGTCCCTGCTGCTTTCCTTTGCCCTAATCCTCATCCCTCCCTCCCTCCCTTCCTTCCTTCCTTCAGTCCATCATCTTGTGAAATCCTCGCCTTTTCTTTCTCTCAGGACTGAAGCCAGGGTTTTGTCTCCCCCCTCTTTAACACGTTGGCCTGCCAGCCATCCTTTTCATTCCCCCTAGCTTCCTCCCTTCCTTTCTCCCCCCCCCTTTCTCCCCTATCCACTCCTCCAGAAAGAGCTGTCTCCTCTCTATCAATTAATCTTTTTTTCTTCTGTCTATAGCTGCTGTGCCTTCTCCTGCAGAAGAATGCATGTTTGTGGTTAATTCCACCCCAGTGGGACCCTCGGGGCTTCTGTTAAATGCATTGTAGTGTTTGGATGAGTATTAAAACTTGTTCCTCTTTGGATGGCACCAATCGGAGTCAAGGAAGCCGCAACATCAGCTCAAAACCCCTCCGGATGAAATGGAGATGTCTTCTCATTAGGCCTGGTCAGAGCTGCATGCGGCGCGTTTGAATGAATAATAGCGACGACACCAGTAACTGACTTTCAGAGATGTGTCTGAGAGTGAGTGCCCTGTAAAGATCCTCCACGTCTGGCGTTCGCTTGTTGAAATGATTAGTTGAGTAATCGGTCGGTGCAAACCGCAAAAATGTGTTGATCGCTATTTCAGTTATTTATCAAGTGAGAATGCAGATTCCCAAATGAGGTGAGCTGCTTTGTGAGGGGCTCTGGGAGCTTTGTGTTTTGGCGTCTTGACAGTTTTATACTCATAAAGTAGGTGGTACATGGTGGAAATAGTCATTTGTAGCCCTACAGAGGACCGCCTTTAGTCAGTGTTATCAAGTAAACTCTTCTTCTTGTATGCATGAATTAAATTGTGTCCACTGGGGCTTCGACGTGTGACTATTTTCATCCCTGATTAACTGATTTTCTTTGATTTCAATTGTTTGGCCAAACAAATGTCAGGAAATTGGGAAGAATGTACATTTCCAGTCGTTTGGCTAATAATGTTTCCACGGATAGACGCTCCTCTTGTGTCTCTGTAATGCAATAGAGTTCAGCAAAAACCTCTCAAAATGACCATACAGTGTCTCATTCGACTCGTCTTAACGGCCTCCGTTATTTCTTTTATCTTGACTAGCCGTACCACAGTCACCAGTGCAGTTTCTAAGTTAGCGGTCTAATTAAGAGCTTGTCCCTGTGTAACTGGACAGGACATGTTTAGACCGCTGTTTGTACTTTGTTGGTGTTTTTTCCAAAAGGAGAAATGTCCTCGTCTTTAAAAGACTCACTCAGCAGAGCAAGGAGAAGTCTTTAGAGAGAGTACGGCAGACAAAGTCCTGCAGCCTGGCATCACGCTCTCTCATTTACATATCTCCAGTTCAGATGAAGAAAATAAATGTATTCAAACATAGCTCTGAGTCAGCTGTCCAATCAACGCAGGGACATTTTTCTCCCCCTCCCTCTCCCTCTCTCTCTCTCTCTCTCTCTCTCTCTCTCTCTCTCTCTCTCTCTCTTCCCCCGACCCAGGAGAGGAGTGTGTAATAGTGTGTGTTTTCATTTCCCCTGGTATGAGGCCAGCTGTCGAGCTGTGTGTGTGGCAGGGGGGGGGGGGGGTCCGTGGACCGGTGCTGGGAACCTGGGGCTGGACTGAGGCCATTTGCTGGGTGTCAGGGGTTTCCACAGGGGAGAGGAAACGGGTTGAAAGAGCGGGGTCGTGTTCACTCCCAGTTATTAGATATTCGTCTGTGTACGTCCGCGATCAGGGAGCTTATTGGTAGAAATGCGATGCCGTGTCGGGTGTGAAAGAATTTGACAGTAGCAAGAGACTGGGGGGAGGGGGAATCCAACATGTCTCTGCATATTTCAGGGTTGTTTGTGCATTGACTTCCGACTGGTCACTTGTTTGTTTGGATGGGCCGAGGAATGAAGACAATTGCGCTCTCTGGAGAAGAACGTTGCATCTGTTCATCCGCTGTCTGGATGCAGAGAGGGAGAAAACGAGTTGGGGGGGGGGGGGGGGGGTAGACAGGTGAGGCCAAATGTTTGTCTTTCTGACAAACGTGGAGGAGAGAAGGATGGACATACGGATGTGTTGCCTTTAAGGAGCGTTGGCCATGTGGACGCTGGGCTCTCTCAGTGGCTGCTACTGAGAGCTCATTGTTATGTGTATTTGTATTTCCATCTATATTTAGTGATATAATTGTACTTTTTTATGCTGCACATTGATTGTGAATGAGTGACCGGTTGCTTTAAATGGTCAGCTAAGCCTGACCTAAAGCTAAAGTGAACATAAGCTTAAGTTTTACTGGACTACAGCCTCTTCTTTCCGCTGCATTAGCCACAGGCTGATGCATAAAACATCTGGAAACGCATGTAAAAAGGAATATGGCAAGCAGACAAGAACAGCTTGTCACAACCGAGCCCAGCGTTTGATTTAGTTCAGCCATGTTGTTGTCAAAGCCTAATATATTTAATGTAAACTATTTAATGTCCCTGAGTTGTGTTCAGCCCTCATTCCTTCGTCCCACCGTAGCGTTCAGACATCCCATAATGTTATGAAGCTGGAGCAACGTCTACCTGCCGAGCCTCAACGTGTCTCTCTTCCCTTCTCTTCAGGGTGGTGAAGGAAGAGATTTCCGACGACAGCGCCAAGCTGCCATGTTTCAACGGCCGAGTGGTTTCATGGGTAAGAAGCGATAAACCTGCTGCGTGTGTGAATAGATGTCACCGGTGACCACTGCTCTTGAATCTGTAGAATGACCTCATTTCAATAATGTCCCGCTGAGGCTTCTGGGAAAATGTCAGAAAGCTGGCTTATTATCTTAAAAGTCAGGCAACCTCAGCAGAAACCACGTCCCCCCCTCAGACTCATCATCTGGTCTAACGAGCAGCAATAAAATGAAGCAATTCATTTCAAATCGGAGCCACTAACGTTGCAGAATCGTGCATCATATCCACAGTCTGAGTCACTGTAGTCAACAGCTGTACTGGTAGCATGGTTTGGGGTTGTTTTTTAAGTCTTTAGAAACATGACATAATCTAACTTCTCTCGTTGTTAATCGACACTCCAGCTCGCACAGCGTGTTACTGTTTACGGTACAGCGGGTTGCCAGGTACATATTTCCATACTTTTCCATTTCTCCAGTAGAAGGGCCCCCAGTTGTTGTACTCCTCACCCCGAGAGTTAACATTTGAATAGAGACAAAAAAAAAACGTCAGCAGGTTGGAGGCTGAAGCATCTGTTAAGTGCATAAGAAGGAGGGAAGGCTTTAAAG